AAAATTTCGGTTATCACTTTTTCCCAAAAACCGGGTTTTTATTTAAACACAAAACCCCCCCCCCCCCCCCCCCTTAAATTTCATCCGATCGAGTTAAAAATTTTATCGGAGGTACTCAAGAGCAAAAGTAAATTTTTTGAAATTTCTTTTAAATCTTTCTTTACCAAGTTATAGGTTGTAGGTTTCTAAAAGTTATAGGTTTCTAAAATTTAAAAAGTCGATTTTTGAAAGTTTTTCAGTATTTTTCCTATAACTCGGTAAAGAAAGATTTAAAAGAAATTTCAAAAAATTTACTTTTACTCTTGAGTACCTCCGATAAAATTTTTAACTCGATCGGATGAAATTTAAGGGGGGGGGGGGGGGGGGGTGTTGGGGGCAATGAAAAACCCGGGTTTGGGGGAAAAGGGGGGAGGGGCATGTGTNCGATCAGGTGAAATTTAAGGGGGGGGGGGTCGTAATGTGGTCCAATGAAAAACCGAGTTTTCTGGAAAACTGGTGAACGGCAATAGTTAAAAACTTGAAACAAAAACGAAAATGTGCTCCATTGCGTTTCCAATCAATTTTGAAAATATGAAATATTTTCAGTCTGTTTTAGGGCTCTTCAGAAAATTTTCGAATTTAGTTGATTTTTTTTCATTACTTTTAATAACTGCGTTTTTATGTATGTTTAGAAATTGACAAGACACAATGTATACTGCTGACACATCATATTTCTTTTAATCACACACATGGGGTTTACTGGTTTTTAGTGTAAAAAAAGATGCAAATCTATACTTCCACAAGAAATCAATCCTTAAATTATCTGTACTCGAAAATTTGTTCGATGGCACAGAATATTTTTTCTTTAACTCGATAAGCTTTGAAAACTGGACAGATCAGCAATTGTTCATCATGGAATTAGAGTGGATCTCCAGATGTTAGTTTTCCAGAGATTCAATAAAAAAAAAGCCGCATCGATCGAAATAGACAACATATTTGTGATCAGCATCAAGACATAACCTATAGCCACAGAGATTTGTGATGGACAGCAAGTTCTAAAGTCAACTTTTGACAAAGATATTCGAGCACATGATGTCATTTCGAGTCATGACACTGTGCTTTCTCTCTTTTTGTGCTAATCAAAATTACTATAATGAGCTATAATGAGTAAAGACTATGCTGTGTTCCACATGAACCATATAAAAATGATAGAACAGCCAGTATCACAGCGACAAAAGCTTAAGCTACTTCTCAAATGAGAACTGTACTTTGGAAATGAAGTAACATGTGAAGACATATTTATGAAAAATGAAATTTTTAGTAATATTTTCTCTATTCAAATAATGGAATTTTGATATCATGGTGATTTCAAATTTAAAACAAATGAAGGCATTATGACCTAATGATCAGTTTCGAAACTTCATCGCCTTTTGACAGGCGTTGAATTTTGCATCTCTCTTATTTTTTCCGATCCCTTCGTATGTCACATCGTCGCCACTTATTCCTACTTTACACACAGAAGAACCACTTTGTTGATTAACATATTCTCTAAAGTAAAAAAAATAAAATAAAATTAAGGAAAAGCAGAGAGAATCTTATTCGAGACTAAATAAAAGATAGATACACTTACCTAATAATCTTTCCGCCACTTTCATAAAATCGTCGAACTGGATTCAAGTTAGGATCAATAATCGAATTTTCTACAAAAAAAGATGACAACAACAACAATAACACACATTCAATATGTAGTTAATCAGGCAATGGTACCGATATATTTCTTTAGTATTGGTTCAAATACATCCCATACAACTTTCAATGAACTATTTGAATCGAGAAATATTGCACCGACTAGTGCTTCGAACACATCGGCAAGTGTTTTGGGAGCTGTACTATCTGCCCACATTGTGAGATCCTGAAAAATGAGGTTCAATTAATTAATCACGATGAATAATAATACAGATGAGTAAAATTCTTCACTTACTTCACCTAAACTTATTTTTTCATCTAATGAATGTCTAGCAATATAGATTGAAATTTCTCTGAATAGAATTGATGAATCATGTAGAATATAGTGATGAAGTTTGTTTTCAGCAAATAAATAAGCTAAACGTCCATTATTCGCTATATCTTGACGAATATCAGTTACTATTTCTACAATGAAGTTTTTTACTATTAGTATCACTCCTTCAACTTGCATAATAACTTTTACGTGGTGTGATCTTGTTGTTTTTTATAAATATTTCTCTTGTAACCAAATAATCTAATATAGCATCACCAATGAATTCCAATCTAAAATAAATACGAATAATATTATCAATGTCTGAGATGAATGAAGATCTTATCAATTACTACAGAACGAAAACAATTCATAACAACATAAAACATACATCTATTTTAGTATACTGTAAAAATTAAAGATACTTTTCAGATGTCAGAAGAAGGTTCTTATTTGTCAAGAAAAGAGTAGTGCTATTTTCTAGAAGAAAAGATTTTTTGATCGTTATAACTGCATATATTTTAATTTCAAGGTCTTCGAATCATTTACTAAGATACAAACATGTTCTCATTCATCAGAATAGTCATAAAGAAAAATTATCTTACCTTTCATATGATTGAGTAAAACGATTTGTATAACATGATGGATGTGTAAATGCTGCAATTAAATAGGCTTTCTTTTTAAATTGATAATTTAAACGTTTCTCAACTTCATAAAAATGTTTATGTTCATAAAATGTATTAATTAATTCGTGCGCGTGTTCATACATTTGATAAACAATCGATGGTGGTGTTTTTATGATATTACCTACGTGATGATGAACAACAAATAATTAAGAGTTTTTCCACTAAAATATTTGCCTGTTGACAAAACAACAACAGCATATTTTACCATTTTCATCTTGGGGAAACACGTCTAATCCTAACCATTGTGAAAACTTGAGTGCGTCTGTATATCCATGTGTAATTAGAATTCCTCCAATTATTGCTTCGATCATATCTGCTAATGATTTATATTTAACTATCTGCATTGTAAAAGGATGAAAATTGTTTTCTTTTTTAACTACAACATAACCGGGTGGAAGCCAATTTGCATTTTTTCCTCGATATTCAATTTTTTGTGCATATAAAAACGATTCTAATCCTTTTCTTATAGCACAACGATATAACATATTGTTCGAAATAAATTTAACTTTTTCCACTGTTAAAAAGCCAACATTTTCTTTTGCATATTTATAATACATTGACAATGAAACAGATAACTTCAGAAAACAATCGCCAAGAATTTCTAAATTTTCCATGTTAGTTTTTTCACCGGTTGAATCACGTCTGAGAGCTTGAAATAATACGGATGGTGGTAATTGTTTATTACTGGTAGATGATGTCAAATTGTCATATGCTAGCTCCGGAAGGGGTAATTCTAAGTATGTTTGTTCCTCAGACTGAAACAGAAATGAACGTCATTACGGCTGCGTAGAAGAGAAAAGTATAAGTACGTCTTACTGTGAAATTAATATTGTTTGTATTAGAAACTAGAGAAAGAGAGATGATTAAAACTAGCTATTCACAGCAAAAATGATCGATGTTAACTTACACAAATTTATTAGACAGTCACGAAAATCAACTGGAAGCAAGATTTCTGGTGACATAAACTACAATAAAAAGATTGATTTTATTAACCGGTTTTTCTTCTCTAGAAGTTAAAATTACCTTTCTATTAGTATCGATATTTTTCACGATTAATCTTCTCAATTTTTCAACATGATAGAGTTGTGTAATACGAGTAAATATAGTTGGTAATTTAGAAAATAATTGTTGATCATTCTTATTTACAGGAGCATAATTCAGCAATTCTACCGGATAATAATAATATTTACATTCATCTTCGATTGTTGTTATCGTTACTTTGGTACTACTTAGTGCATGTGGATACAAGAAATTATCTGCTTTTTTCCCCCAATAATTACCACAAGCCATTGGCCAATTCAAATTAATTTTCACGTTTCTATCTTGTTTTTTCAATTTTGTTTCATAATAATCAGCATATGTTTTATATTTTTCTCCGTGTTCCCATGCGGCATGAGCAAATTTTGTTTGACTTAAATCGTCTGTATCAACAATATAAAACAATTTCTTTTCATTTAAATTCCATGGTCTGTATAATTCATTCTTATTGATGTTTTTCGGATTTTCCACAGGTTTTTCACTTCGTGCACATATTTGAATCATACGATCAATGTCGATTGAATCGTCTAACAAAACATAAGAAGTATATTTGTTATAAATGTAAGTCTAATGTGTATTTAAATATGAGCGCTTCCTTTTAGTGAGATTGAGGAGACATTTTATGAGAGCTACCACGATGTTTTACTTTTAAACGCTTAAATATTCGGCAAATTAAAATGGTAATGAGTTTTTGTTAAAGTTTGATATTTTCAAAAAAAATATTTTAATCCCTTCTCCACACCATAAACAAAAGATTTCATATAAGAAGTCGATATTAAGCTAAGCATATCATCGGCTAGCCCACTGTGTCCACCATCAGAATTCATAGTTATTTGGTCTTCACCAAAGTAGTACGAAGGTTCTTCGAAAAGTTCTCTTGAAAACTTGACTTTTCCAAAAATTGAGCTCTTCGGATATTAAATAAAAGACCAAAGCTAAGAATAGTTTTAGTAATCTAGAATATAAAGTCAAAACAAAACGTCTACCAGCTCTGGGTGATGTTCTAACCAAATGTTATCAGAGTTATGCTAGAAGCCCTGGAACGTTGAATGAAAATCTTAACTTCTTGGATTTTTTTAGTAAGATCCTTGACTTAAGATCTTGGTAATAAAACGTAAAAAGTTAAAGAAAATTCAAGAAGCCAAGATCTTGAACTTCTCGAAATTTCTTGACTTCTTGTATCAGGACCTTGAGTGATTGAATCTTATACCCAAAATCTTGAAAATTCCCAAATCATGGTTTTGTTTTACACTCTTGTGTCAATATAAGTGCGAATATTTTCACACTTAGGATTACTTAGAATTTTTTTCCTTCTTGAAAATAGTTGTTTTGAAATAATTTACATTTTTTACTTAATTGTATGTGTAATTTACACGGGAATATAACACAAAACGATGATTCCAGAATTTTCAAGATCTTAGGTACAAGACGTTTCCATAGAGACGATATCTCAAATGCGAAGATCACCGCACAGCATTTCTTATTTACAGGATTTTTGTGTCAAATTAAGTGATGTAGAGCTCGGGTCGGTCTCAGATTGAAGTTAATATGTAGAACTAGAGGCTAATAGAACACAGTTTTTGAATTTCTATCTATTTTTTCGTGAAAGTTATTTTTCTAGAGATGTTAAAAAGCATTTTCAAACTTTTTATTATTCAAGCTGCTTATTAATTAACAAAGTAAAACATCAAAAATTGGGCTCTATTAGTCTTCAGGCACATGTGTTTTCCATCTTAAGACCGTCCAAAGCTTTCTACGATGTTTCGTTATTGAGAAATCTTGTAGCTACGAACAGCCGCATTTTGACGTTCGGCCCATGAAATAATTTTGATGGTCTAACGCAGGTTAGTAATCGTTAGAAACTTTTTTTCAGAAATTACGTTTGAACGGGTTAAGTTTTCAAATATAAAGCGTGATGACGTTTCTTCTGAGTGGTAGCGGGCTAGATCCGGTTAAATATGATTCTACGAACTTTAATGAGTTTTCACACATTCACGTTAACGAGTTCACGCATGCGCATTCTTTATATTTTGTTTATACGACAAACGAATTTCAGCTGAAATAGTTTTTTTAACTAGTTTGAGCTTGTGCGAGTATCGAACGCGTTTTAATCCCCTCTAAATATGAATGCGTTCTCATCCTTTATAATTAAAGTTGTAAAATACTTCACTAAAATCTAACGACTTCAAACGCATTAATTGTGCATTCTATTAATCCGTTTCGACGCATTACAATTCTGTAACTCGTTCCAATACGTTAAACTATCAGATTTAATTATCAGACGGGTTGCGAGGCGCAAATTTTCGAAAAATCGATGGTATACGGTGTAAATACGTTGAAAAATAAAGAATATATATACATTTTAGTATAAAAATTTATTTTAACTCGCCTAACGGGATTAGAAAAATTGTTAACTCGTCAAAACTCGTTGATCGATGGCACACTAAGATGCCTGAGCGTTCGACCGTGATTTTCCAATCACCGTTTTGTTTTGTATGACCGCCTATAGAAATACTATACCTATTCCTACATGAAATATGATACATTGACATACATCCACTTAGAAATTTTCCTAAGTTTTCCTGTTGTTATATATAGGTGACAAGTAAATTGTCTATGAATGGCATAGCTCATGCGCAGTGCATGCCAGACTACTAGTACTAGTGACTAGTAGTAGTGAACGGCACCTAGAGCATACACTATGCATAAAAGGTGAATAAATTTACTTCGTAAATACGAGAGCTTAGTGCATAGAATTTCTTTTGCCGTGTAATGGACAGTACTTAGTAGATCATAGCTAGGTGGATCATGATTTTCATGACATCATAGCGATAAAAATGCAGTCTAACGCGTTACAATTATATTTTGATTCAAAATGTTATTCTAACGAGAGTAAACTCATTTAAAAGCTAACGCGTTCAATTTTTAACGAGTTTGAACGCTTTACGATTAAGGAGAAGTGTTATCATGAGCTACAAATTCTAATGAGTTACTTAGGGCATACCAAAAGTAATGACGCCATCACTTTATTTCCTTATAGAAAGAGAAAGCTTGAAGAAATTTTCTTTTTTTATGCAATTACAGACAAAACGATGCTCTATTTTTCTATGTTATTTCATCGCTATTCAACTAATATCATAACTATAAAATTTTCAAAAGAAAAAAAAAAAGAGCTGTTTCTTACTATATGTCATGGGTATATGAATGCTGATATTTTTTGAATAAGTTTTGATAGAAACATGGTAGAGAGCTGCAGTTTTCACCATTGAAAAGAGGAGAAGAAGGCGCATCGAACCGTATATTACAGATTTTTTAACCTGTTTTTTGTAAGGTTTTCAGTTGACCTTCTAAAGAACAAACCTTTCTCGTGGATTGTTGACAGGGAATTTTCAATAATCAGGTTCACATTCCCAACGCTGTTCAAAGATCTGCAAACTGTGAAAGACTGAGATGTTTGAATTTAATTATTTAGGGATAATATGTATTCTAGTCGAACTTCTAATACGATTTTCTAGCAAATTTTTTGCTTTTTGCTTTTTTTCATTAAAAATGCATTTTTCAGACGGTTAGAAAATTGAATAAAAAAAAACTTTGAAAATCATACTAGAAAAATCTTAATATACGATTCGATGCATCTTCATCTCCTCTTTCCAACCGTAAAAACCGCAGTTCTCTATCTTGTTTCTATGAAGAGTTCAAAAAATACTCACGAGCATTCATGTTACCATCACACATGCGAAAGCAACAGGTCTTATCGAAATTTTATAATTATGACATTAGGTGAATAGTGATGAAATAGCATAGAAAAATAGAGCATCGTTTTGTCTGTAATTGTATAGAAAAAGAAAATTTCTTCAAGCTTTCTATAAGAAAATAAAGTGATGGCGTCATTACTTTTGGTATGCCCTAAGTAGAATCACTGAATACGAAACGCAGCTCTAACGCATTAAGACGCTTACAATGCTTTAGAGTTTTAAAATTCTCGTGATAAACCAGTTTGAACGTAGTTTTCGTATTTTTTTTTATAAAAGTGAGTTTGAACACGTTAGAATTATTTGCAGTCCTATATAAGTTTGAAAAATAACGCACTCAACAGCATTTAACTAGGCGCATGCATTAAATTGCTCTTTTGTTTCACACCTGCTAACGCGTGTGAGAGTATTCAAATTATTTCATGGGGAAATGGTGATAGATAGCGTCTTCAAAACTTATTGAAAGTGCACAATTATACGATCATCATTCCGTGACATTTTTGTCAGTATTGAACTTACGGATATCAGATACGTTACAAACCGAGGAAGTGGTTTAGTTAAATATCTGCAAATCTGCAGCAGATTTGTATCCTACCCTAATTAACTATACAGCGAGTATACAAGTGCTATCTGAAGTACCGCTTGCCGAATCCTCGAAGGCAGCCTCCCATATACTTGCCATATATTGTAAAACCAATACAAACCTTCGTTTAATAGACATGGCATCATCTTATACGGTGATTTTTTTGAATCATATTGCAATTGTGAATTGTTTCCAAAATCAAAAACGTTTTCAAACAAGTATCGACAGAATAAATCTATTTGTGGTTGGTACTGATTATAATTAATTGTACAAATGTTGACAATCTTCACTGTATATGAATTGCGTGCATCGTAGATATTGAATTTAGGTAACTAAAAGACAAAATAGAATTGAGTTTAAAATAAGTATCTTTGTGCTATTGAAAATGTAACCACATGAAAATGACAAAACACTTACATCTGGCATCTCAAGTGGAATCATGAAACCTATTTCATTATTATATACAGATCCTATTGGAGAAATAATATGAATTCGATATAAATACCAATTATTATCATTTGCTTCACTTTCAACATTGGAGCTACAATATTTCCTCAACTGAAAGACAAATAAAAAGACTATAATTAATCTTTCAAGGAGTTTGTCGTAAGTCTATTGTTTTCCATCTTTGAAGTCGTTTTTCAAAGCTTTTGTTTCAACTTTAGTGCGTTTCTTATTTCTTTTCATCTGAGTCATATCAACTATCCTCTTAAAGGACGTTGAACAGATCGCATCAGATACAAAGCAGCAAAAATCACAGAAAAAACATTCACGTGTTATCTTGCATGATGCATTAAGAAAATGGAAGTATCAATACTCTTATGTCTCAAAGAACGAATGCAAGTGTAGTCGTAAATAAAAACTTACTATTCTAGCTTCTTTTCTGTTTGTCATACGAACTGGAAAGTTGTTAATAAAAAAATCGAGTACCATTTGTAAACGTCGACTAGCGTCACTGTCACCACCCAACATCTTTCATAAAAAAAACACATTGAGAAACGGGGAGTGTCATGATATCCAGATTTTTAAAATTCGGATGTTTTTAGGTCCGGGAAGACTTTTTATCCGGAAATCCTACTCGCCTGTGCATCTCTAGCTGGATGTAATTTCACCCGGATTTAAAAGTCCGTAAGATTTTCGGACGAATTTTCCCCGTCCAACCCCGGTAAAAAATATTCTAAATGAGCTTTTCACTTGTTATAAAAAGCAATGCAAGTTCGATTGTTAATCAGTTGTATATTAGTCTTAGATCGTACATTAAGTAAGTCCAGTGTAACTTAATGAGGTAAGTCTGCAATAGGAAAGCTGACTCAAATTTCTAATAATATTTAGTGATAATACTAAACACACTTACAAACATAACACCGTTAAATTTTATTGTAATGCAACCGAAGTTGCACTAAATTCCGGTTTAAGTAGCTATATAATGAAACTACTAGTATTACTATTCTACTCTATCACATGCGGACTTGCATTGCTTTTTATTATAAGTGACAAACTCATCTAGAATTTTTTTCCCGGGCTTGAGAGGTTTTTTAGGAAGCTACAGGAGTTGATCGAGGAAATTCATCCAGAAATAAGTCATCCGGTTTCCAACATGTCCGGCAAATGATTCATCCGGACATGTTGGATTCTTGATGAATAGTTTTCGGATGAGTTAAAAAAAGGATTTTAATAATCCGAATTTCATGACACTTCCTCATTGAGAAATAATTATTGTTTCTATTTTTCAGGATGTAATTTCTTTCTTCAGGAGTGAATGACTTTCTAGAATAAGATGATTTCGGCTTCTCGAACAAATCATTTTGTTTTTTTAAGTCATTTCTAACCAGATTTATTTGTATCTCAGTTCGAAGTTTACTAATATAATAAGCCTATTGATTATACCTGTTTATTAATAGTTATGAATTTCAAATGAAATTCAATTTTAAATAGGTTATCACACAATGAAACTATTTGATCTTCAACAGACGGCTCGCTATGTTGTTTATACTGTCGTTTAGGCAAACAATGCTCGTCGAATTCACCTAGAGCAATAATATATAATTAAAAGTGAAACTTTTCAAAGAGTATTAGAAAATAAAAACCTTTTTCATGCAATAATTTAACCATTTTTAAACAACATTCATATCTGGCCAATTTTTTTGTCGGTTGTTCACACTACAAGAAATAAAATTAGTCTAGCTTCACATTTAATAAAATTCTAACTCGTTTTAGCCAAGAATAAGAAACTTACAATAACATCATCACCAATAGGGCAATTGGCTGGCATTGTTAAAATACATTTACATTGGCCGCATTCTGTGATCTGTAAAAATCGTGGAGGATATATTTGACCTCGACCAAGTATTGAACAATATCTACAAAGAGAATAAAAAAGCAGAAAACTCTCGATAAATATTATAACCAATTGAAAAAAAAGCTCACTGATATATAAGTTGTACAGCACGTGCTGCATTAATAATACTATTTTTAGTTCTATACGGTTCTAAATGAGTAATATCGCCATCATCTTCATCTACATAGTTCGAAAAACCGCTGCGCAACATCTATGACAAGTAAAAATCGTATACATTTTCCTTACAAGAGAATCAAATATTTTCTATTACCATTTCAATTTCATCATATTCTTGATATTGAGCTTTATCGTTTAGATCAGCTTTATAATCTTTTGATCGTGTTATTAAGATAATATATGATGCATTTAATTTTGAACGAGCACGACCCTTAAATAAAACATAAGAGAATTAAAACGTTCGTTCTATATAACCAAACAACTTACTTTTGCTTGCATATAGGAACTAAAATTATCTGGTTTGTTGAATCGTACTACAAGATTACAGTGTGGCACATCCAAACCTTAGAAATATATACATAAATATACCATTTGATGAAATATTACAGTTGAATAAAAGTGTCAGATAATACCCTCTTCTACGACAGATGTTGATACTAATATATTTATTTTACCAATGCGAAATTGTTCGAGAACTTCATTCTAAACTAAAAAGTTTTCTCAGATGATAAATAAAATGATACATGAATGGCACGAGAGCCACGGCCGAGTTTGTTCAATGCTTATTTCACACTGTTTATGTCGTAGAGTATACAGGATATGATGTGAAACTTGACAACAGTGCAGCACAAATAAATTGAAATCTCATCTAGTTTTCACTGTTCAATATAAAGAAGTAAGCAAATTGTACTAGGGCTCTGTTGTTGCCATCTATTAGCTAAGCTAGTGCTAGAAATTTATTGGAAAATATGACTTATCATAACTTTCGTATTTTTAAATCAAAATCGATTGTGAAGAGCGAGATCTCATTTTGTAATTAATTATTTGCTCTATCAGATAAGATAGTTGATCAAAATCTCAAGCGCTGTAACAAAATCCTAGAGTTTTCTGAAAAACCAAGTTTTTTTAGAAGAAATCTTCTGTCATGTGCGTTATCTCAAACCTTATTTCATATACAAAGTTAATGTTCCTTCAGCAAAGCTGTTGAATGAAATTGACTCCGCTAGGCTGAGAGATGGATCGTTTCAAACAGAGACTAAATCATCGATTTAGCATTTTTACGGCTTTTACTATGACGCCATCAAAGAAATTGTACATCTTAAAATCTTGCGTTCGAAGATTAGAGTGATTACAGTTTTATGCTAGAAGTTTGAATCCATAAATCGATTGTTCAGTGACAGAGCACAGGTTAAAAGTGAACTGTAAATAAACTTTTCTGATCATGACTTTCAGTCGAGCTAAAACCATCTCTAGTAGATGTGTACCGTTTATCCTCATGAACATATATGACAAATATAAAAGTAATCCTGGAAAAAATATACTGACTACATTTGTTTTTATTCTTGAGAAGAATATTTTTTTCAATTCTCTTGTTTCGCACTCTCAAACTGATGGGGCTTCGAAGCAAATGTTAATATCTTGAATACGAAGTACAAAAGAACTTCAGTTTTGCTTGCAATCGAATTTTATATGGTTCCACAGTGCAGCATACATAGTGTGACAGCAAAATTTGATATGATAATTCAACGAGCCTTCCGTGTAGCCGATCGTATTTCTGTTACTAGAAATTTTAGGAAATTTTCTTTGAAAATAATCTGTTCTAAAACTGAATAATATTCGCTTATACTCCTACTTCAATAATATAATATTTTCCGTAATACCAGACGGCTTTCGTTTAGGAATTCATACAATGTATTTTAAACATAAAATGGTTGTATGCGTAATTACCTGATATTTTGCAGTAACAGATGTTTTTGTAGTACACGATTTGTTTCCAACAATATATTTTGATTTGAAAATCTCACTGTATTCTGGATATATTTTTATAAATAATATAGCTAATAACTCATTTAGAATTAGAGCTGTACTAATGCGTTCCACAAATATAATACATCTCATTTTGGAATTCTCATCATAATTTTCTAATGATATTGTCTTTTCATGATGTTCAATGATCTGACAAAATAATTTCCACACTTTTGGACTAAACATATTATTATTCCACTGACTATTTTTAATCTCTTTGTCAAAAATATCGTTTGTCAAATTTTCAATTTGTTTGTAGACATCATCATCAAAAGTCGAGTCATTTGTAAATTTTTGAGATTTTTTCTGATATATATACAACTGTTGCGTAGCTAAATAGAGTCCAATTAAGCCTAATTCTTGACCAATAAGAATAATATTATCAATTTGTCGTTTTAAATTTAGCATTGTTGGACTTTCTGATAATACCAGTTGCATGTATTCACTAGATTTTTCAGTGTATTTTAACATATTCGTATGATAATCTTTTCTTAGTCTGATTTCACCCAGTTCATTATCCAATCTATCATATTTACTTTTATGCTTCATCTGATGTTCGTCAATTTTCTTCGAAATTCTTTTTAATGTCTACATCAACAGAAAAATATGTCACGTTTTGTTTTCAATCCTATGATATTTACACTCACATCAAAAATAATTTTTATATTGTTATTACAAACATCTGTAAATGATTTACACCAACATTTTTCAGTTGCAACAGTTGTACCATATTTAACATCTTCATCACGAAGTATGCCACATTCAACACGAGCTCTGTGAAATGAAAGTAGAATTGTTTTGAGCTATATGATTAGAAAGACATGTTTGCTAAGTTTTATAGAAATTCTCATACTAAAATTTACCAACGTTCGCATTTCAATTGATTTTTTGTGTCCATAGGTTCTCCAATCAGTATATAGTTACATTTTAATGGAAATTTTTGTAGGTGGATGCATTTTATATCTCATCATGTGACTGGTGATTTATTCAATTTTTATGAAAAATATTCCTCTCTACTTTTGACTTTCAACATAGCCAAATTTAGAGGCTATAGAATAAGACCACTCCAAGCGTTCCACGACCTTTTCTGAAAAATTTACGAGTTTTTCAACTTCTTACTAAAAAAAACTCAACATTTTTTAGTTCTGTTAATTTTTCTTACATTTCATTCAAATTTTTTTCTTATACATTGCCTGATAAAGAAGTATTCTTCTCACAATGAGGCCACTTCAGTAATTTTTTTTGCTTCGGCAGTAGTTCCAATTCAATCACTTACGCATTTTTCGACTATTTTCAGAACAACATCATATTTTTCGAAAAAAAATTTTAAATTTGAGATAGGATCTGAAGTATTTACGGTGAAAATTTGAATTCATGTGGATCTTTGCTTCCTATTGTTTTCGTCAAGGTGAAAAAAGAGTAAATGAGGGTTACCCTTAACGAAAAAGCTTTGCATACAGTAAAATTTACCGAAATGTTGTTTCCAGACGTTTTGCTTCGTTTTCTAATTCACATGCTTTAATTTTTTTTGCTGATATTGATGCTGTCAACCCTAAGACACGTGGCTTTTGGTTGCAATCATCGTAGTGAAGATTCATTATTTGAGCATATGACGAATTACCAGCTGAATGATGACATTCATCAAAAATTAACAAATTCACATCGTCTAGTGCTGAAAACAAAAAGAAAAACCACTTGCTCGAATACAACAAATAATTATGCTCACAGAACAATTTATGGCATAAAACGTCCAGAAATAGTTGACTAGTTATCACAAGTATTTGATTATCGTCAAAATTCTTATACCATAATTGTTTTTTTTCATTAGATTTCGTATCGATTATTTCACCATGATACTCGCCAACAATCATGCCGGTGTTATCGCGAATATACTGACTTTGTTGACGAACAAGTGCAACTAAAAGAGCCAAAAGCTACACACAAATTAAAAAAATCGAAATTTGAAGTTTATGTACCTGTTGGAACTAGAAATACTGTTCTTTTTCCACCGTTGGCTAATTTTAAACGTGATTTTTCTGCTAATGCTTTGATTAACATTGCACATATACATGTTTTACCACTTCCCGTAGGTAGACAAATAATTAAATTTTTGTGTTTGGCATATTCCATCATTTCGGACTACATTAAGTAAAATAAAAGCATCAACAACCGAAAAAACGAAACCATTAGATCTCATCTACTTGATATGCTCGAGGTAATATGGCATCTTGCATTGTCCTTGATTCCAATTCAATTTTTCTAAAGATTGAAAACCTTTTTTGTAAACCAGATGAATTTTTTCTAGATTTTTTTCAAATTTTCAATGTTTTTTACAAGCTTTGATATCGAAGGGACTGGATTGATCAAATACATGAATAGCAAATATGGGAAAAATAAATATTTCAAACAAAAATGGGAAAAAACCAACAGTACTCATTTCTTCATTTATGTTCAATGGTACTCCACATGAAGAGGTCAAAGGTAATTGGCTCGTGCTTTTATTACTCAATCGTGTATCCAGATAGATTGAGATAATCGATATTTTGATTTATTTTCTTAAAACTTTATTTGATTTTTCAAATCAAACATTAAATCAGAAATATTTATTCTTTTTCTTATTTCATCGAGCAACAGTTTTCATTAGCGTAACGGTTAACCAATGCTTGTAAGCAAACAGATGTAGCTGATGAATGAGACTGCTTGTTGTGTTGCCAGTGAAAGAGATTCTTAAAAGCCTTCTAACATTTTAGTGATGTTTGTAAGTCTGAAATTAAGTTTTTTCAGATTTAAACTTCGATTCATCATGAATCAAATCCCAAAGATTTTATTTAAAATAAATGATGATTTATGACAAGTGCCTATAAGCGTGAATTATACAAAATTTTGGAGAATCAAAAAATCAAATTAAAATTTTTTACATCGATGGATAGTCTGAAGTTTCTGCTTTCAGAACTTGTATCACTTTTTATGATTGAGATGGAAAAAGGTACTTTTTCGTACTCTTAATTTTAAATTTAATTGGTGGACATATCTTTGCATGTTTAGCTTTATTTGATATTTTGCAATAATCTTTGTTTGAAAAACAACAACAAGACAAGCAGATCTTCAGTTTTCGAGAAACAACGTTGTGATGAACACTTACAGCAATTTAAAGTGAGCGAGTAATTGAGATTAAGAAAATTTCTTTTTATAGCTTCCGCTGGAAGTGAGTATAGAAATGTACACCCTTTTACCAGTGGTTTTGAGAATTATAATCAATTATTGTGGTTCAGGTTTTGTCGAACCGATACTTATGTAAGAATATTTTATCTTCTTTATGATTATACGTAAAACACAATCATTCTTCACATGAATAGCAATTATTGTGCGTGCATAAGAAACTGACCATATTCGGCACAATATCGAAAATTTCCAAAATAGTATTTTCATTGTTGATAGACTTTAGAACCATAAATTTAGTATTGAATAAATATAACAGCAACAGCTTGATTTGTATATTAAGGATAGACTCGTTAGTTAGCGTGTAACAAAGTATGATATAAAGTGAAGGATGCTTTACAAATGAGATCCCAACTTTCGACGATCTTTTTGGGAGAAGTTATTAAGTTTGCCGATAAAAATGTATCAAAAGATATATTGGTAGGCAGTTTATAGATATTATAATCAACAAATTATCGTTGATTACAAATATGTCGCTATCAAAATGATTTCAAATCCATGTTGTTATGATCAAACTTTCCGCAGGAACTTATAAACTCGTTTTTGAGCCATTGGTTTTTTAAACCAATTTGTTTCTAAGTATATTTTAGTAACGATACAGAATTACTTTCCTTGTATTCATATTGAAATTTCAAACTTTCGTCTAAATTATTAAGTTCGTCAACGAAATATTTAATTTGATTTTTATATAGCTCTGCAACAACAAGCAGATCATCAGCATATTTTTAGCTAAACCTGAGTATGAATATTTTCGAAAAGTTCAGTATTTTTCTAAAAACTCATTGGCAAAACTATTAGCTGAAACTGATAAAAGAAAAAGTCCACTAGGGAGGGAGGCCTTTTAACTGGCAATAAATTTTATCACGAAACTTAAAATATTATTGTAGCAGTTTTATTTAGTTTAACTCTTCTATTTTGTATTATTTTCCTTAAAATGGTCGTTTCTCAAGCAACTTTTGCGTTCCAGATGTATCAGGCATGTAGTTACTTAAAAAAAATTCGGTCAAAATTTTTTCACACAGGCAACTCGATGTGATCTACAAACTGGAAAGCTCAAAATCGAATTTCGGTCAAAAATATTTCAGATCTAGAATTCGGATTTTCCAGAAACTGGTTTGCAAAGGCCTAGTAATCATCCGCACTGTCATATTCTGAAGCATCATCATCGATTACATATGTATGCATCGCTTTTATTCAAGGGGAAAAAAGCAGCACCTAGTGCTGATCAGAGTGCTGAAAAGTGCTAAAAGGTGCTGAGATACTATACTAAAAAAAGTGCTTTTCTCCCCTTGCTTTTATTCCTAAACTTGACGGTTGAGACCTTCCCTTATCAGGTCGCGCTTTTTTCAGATTCAGTCAGAATTCGAAAAAATCACAAATTTCGCCGTAATCTTCAAAAATGTTCCCGATTTCATCGAAATCTCGTGACCTTTCAGCAAAATGATTTTTCTTAACATTACAACAAAATTTGAGAATATTGAGATTCTGGCGAAACTTTCTAAGCTTACAGCAAAATTCGGTTGAAAATTGTCAGTTCGCGTACGAAATTATGATCATCACTGAAATTGTGGCAAAATGTGCCCGAAATTTAGCACATGGGATGTTTTGAATGATTGAGTGATACGTTTCTATCAAATTCATAAGCCGGTATTCTAGGAAAACCTATAGATAATAGAAATTTTCTCGTGCATTCGGTAGAACTCGAAACACTAGTGCTCTGCATTCTGCACTATTACAACTCCCGTGGAAAAATTTCATTCGATTAAGGTAAATATTTGATTTGTAGATACTTGACACTGTAGTCGAGAGATGGTTTTGTCCATTTCTATTCTTCACTATTGGATCTCGAGTTATAGAATTTTAACATCAAAAGCTTTAGTTTTCACATAAGTTTATTAAGAGTATAGTTACACATTAATTGTTTCAGTACAATTCCGAAATCAAATCTGTATCTATCTTCATTCAGAAATTATTAAACCAGTTTATGTTCGTCCCGTGTTCCAAAAAAGATACTAGTTTCACGCTTTTTTCTTTACCCTTGATGTAGATGCTCCGATTGTCTAAACGAGTATGAACTGGTTAGGTCTCGCGTATTACGAAGCATAAAAAGCAACCATTTTATCTTGCAACAAATTCTATTAAAAATACTAGCTCATAATAATAAGTGTTGTATTATCTGTAAAATTTTTAAAGTTATATCGGTGAAAAGTTAGACCTTTATGAAGATAAATTCTCTTATTCTCCTGTTGTTTACATACGGGTTGGAACAATCAGTTCAGATGGTAATAATTGACAAAATACTTTTATTTTATTATTACTTTTCCTCTTACGCATGCATTTTCCTCAAAGGCATGCATATGTAAAAAAACAATTAAATATCTCTCTTTGTGTTGAGTAGTGTTTTCGTGATATGTGTTCCTCTTGCACTTTTTTTCTCGTTAATTTGACGAAAAAGCAGATGCAACATATAAAACTTCCTTCATGGGAATTATAGATGCCTTACCGCATTCAAGATGTTAAAAAGTTCAAGTTCACGTGCAAAACATCACAACACACATCTGGATCATATTCAATCTATCTTTATTTCGATTGATGATTGAAAAAATTAAAAAAACAAATTTTCTTATTTTTAGTTT